GCAGGGGGCGCTGTGGCGCCTGCTCAGCCGCCTTTCCCCTCATGGTGATGGCGGACAGAGCAATGGGCGCCACAGGAACCTCCTGCAGCAGCAGAGATGGGCACACCCGGGGTCGTGAACAAAGTGTAGCAAAGCCCAGCCAGAAGCCACAGGGGTCTGGTGATGCCTTAAGTTTTATTTTTTTCTGTTTTGCTTAGGTGTGCAGTTTTTAGTTTTATATTAAGGGTTACTAGGATCTTTTCACAGGGCTGTGAAGACAAAACTGTTCCATTTCAGCTGGGGACTCAAGGACAACCTCTTCAAACTTCAGGCCCTAAGCCTAAACAATGTGAAAAGAGGAGGGTGGGCAAGCAAACAGAGAGGATGAAACTTCATGATTTGAGACTATTAATGGGACAGTTGACTTCTGTATGCAAATGGACTAAAACCTATACAAATGTGAGATCTTGTGACCGAGCCCTCTTTTGCTTCCATCTTGGAACCATCTGGGCAGGGACACCACTGTGGCACTGGTACTGCCAGGGTTTGGCTTTTGAAGGCCCCTCAATAAATATCCACTTTATTCCTCTTAACTCTCTTCCAGCTCCTCTAGGCATCAGCTTCTGGCGAGCCAGCCAGGAGAGGTGAGGCCTTTGGATACCCCCTGGACTGAAGCCCTGCCAGCAGCCCCAGAAAGGCCCAGAGGTATCAGAGCCAAGAACCCTGGGAACTGGGTATCAGGCCGGGTTTAAGTGCAGCAAAAAGCTGGAAACAGGGGCAGAGAACAGCAGGGCTGGGCAGTGGCAGCTGTGCTCCCACAAGCAGCCAGCAGCTGCTCCCTCTCCCGACAGAGAGGGTCAGGCTTTCCCTAAAAAGGACCACAGAGCACTGTTAACATGCAGAAAACTTTACTTTCGTGTGCTGACCAGAAAATGTGATTAGCCGCCTGTGCCCAGCAGCCTTTCTGGTTCGGGTCTGTAGCTCCACTCGACTTTGCAAAACGCCACTCCCAATTTAGGGTGGATTTAGCACTGCCTGTGCCTCCGTGCTGCTGTGTGGGGACAAGAACGCAGGGGGTGGCAGGCAGGCACCGAGCTGGTCAGCAGATGATGTAGCGGATGAGCCCCGAGCCTCGGAGCTCCCTCACTCTCTGGCAGTGCCTCAGGATGCTCAGGATGCTGTGGAAGCGCTTATCCAGTTTCAGCTGAGTGAACTCCTTGATATCAGCCTCCACAATAAAAAATACTCCTAGAAAACAAAGAACAGGTTTCGTTACAGAAACGACTCTGTTGTAGGGCACGCTCGGCCTTTCACAGGTGACAGCACAGCCTCTTCTTCGTAATTCCACAATTTACAATTCATAATGCTACACTCAGCAGCAGATCCTCACACGGGCACCACCTTAACAGTGGTTTTACTTTATTAGTGGCACTACATATTAGTGTTCTTTTTTTTTTTTTTTGTCTTTATTTAGAGTTGGGATTGAAACCTGAGAGACGGATTTTCTTGTTTGGACTTGGTTGTTTATTAAATTTTATTTATAGCATAGAGAGTTTTGCAGTACTTCTAGCTAACAAGCTAAAAGCGAGAAAATGGAAATTCATTTAGTTAGTTACAAGGTTTTTTTAAGGTTAACTATTTAATTAAAAGCTAACATTTATATTACTTATCCTTTTGATTTAATGACTAAACACTTATGACTTGTATTGCAGTACTTTTTATCTAATTAAAAAAGTACCACTTAAAACTAAGAAGAAGGAATAAGAAGGAAGAAGAGACAATGTCTAAGAAATTTAATTTTGTTTCTTACACTTATTATTATATGCTAAACCTTCAAATTCTAAACCTTTTACCATGTGAAACTACACACTTCTATTTAAACTACACACCTGTGATTTTAACTCCATCACTCAAATTTGGAAGCCTTCTCCAAGGCCTTAAGTCAAAAGTAGTGTTCTTTTGAGGGTCAGTGTCAGAAAGCACAGAAAATTCAAAATTCCTAGGCTCTAGGGTTCCAACAGATGACTTCACACTATATTGTGAGCTTTGTTCTACTTTCAAAATTTGTCATCAGAAAGAGACTTGCCAGCCTTCCCATGAAGTTCAGACACTGCATCATCCATGGGCCCTGCTCCATGAGCTCTGTCTCCCAGCAGGCACTCAGGCTCTGGAATTAGATCTTTGCCGTAAGGACAGAGCCCTGCATGCATCAGAGCTATGCAGCCCACCATTTCCTTGACTTATATCAGATTTGGAAAACAGTAATCCATCATTACTTAAGAAAATTACAGGAAAAGACTAACCACTTGCAACAGCATCATTCCCTGTGTCTCCAAGAAAATGGCACAGGGAAGTCCTGCCTCAGAGCTGAGAGCTCACCGCTTCTTGTAGTTGATTAATTACTTCCTTAAGCAAATTGTCATTAAAATTCAGGCTGCCCAGGGCAGTGGTGGAGTTACCATCCCTGGAAGTGTTCAAAAAGCCATGTGAATGTGCCCCTTGATGACATGGTTTACTGGGTGAACTAAATGGTGCTCGGTAGGAATTTGTGATCTTAGAGGCCTTTTCCAACCTACAGGAATTCTGAATTATGAGTAGTATCACGCTACCAAGTCTAATGAGAAGAAAGACACAAGGGTAGGGGTGATTAGGGGTGATCCAGCTTGGAAAAAGAAGATAGCATTCTCCCTCCTGTGTTCTATCCTTAACACAGAGGCAGGGGCATGTTAGAAAAAATGGAGCATCTCTTCTTCCTTTTAAGTCCTTCCAGTTTCACTGGGAAATAGCTGATCCAAGCTGGAAAGCCAAAGCTGCCTGTAAAGAACTAAGGTCCAAGAATTATGTTTGTAAGTGCAACGTCCCCCAGAATCTTGCTTAGACAGAGCTGAGAAATAACAGATCGTGTTTTCTCGCAGCCTGGGCCTCTCATGAGAGTTGGTGACACATGTGTCTCACAGGGAGTAGAATCTTCCAGCGACAGTAACTGTCAAAATCTAGAGATATTTCCCCAGAGAGGAACTCTGCTGGAATCTCAGAGCTCGTACCCCCACCAATCCACATACAGATGAGAAATAGGAAGTTTGTTTACTAGGAAAAGAAAGAAGAACTGCACTACTGCTCAAAATAGAACTATTGTAGGATAGAGACCATTTACAGCTTCCAGGAACACCAATACACCCAAACAGTGCTGGGAAGACAGGCATAACCTGGCATGCTGCCTTCACAGTCTGTTTCATCTGGGGGAGCACCAGAACGTCCTGAATTTTGATAAAACAAAATTCCTTCTTGTATTTGCTCACGCTCCAGAGTGGCAACATTCAGCATAGCAGGATCTTTTTTGTGAAGGAATCAGAGCTGGGTGAAGGGCAGTGGTTTGGTCCACATGCTAAACAATCAGCTAAAGTCACTGAATCACCTGAGTGGCTGGAAGTGACCCTGATAAACCAGGCAGCATCTTCTCTCATCTTGAAATCAGAGAAGAGGTCAGCTGGCAATCAGCCCAGGCTGAGAACCAGTGGGAATCCTAAGCAGAGAGACTCACAGGAGAGATTTAAGCAAACAAATCAATGAATGCCGAACGTCATCCTGAAAAATCCAATGGATAAAGACATTTAATCATTTTGTGCTGGCCAGATAAGAACCATTTGACAGGCTGCCAGGCCTTTTCTCTAGACTTTCTAAATGATTAGTCACAAAATATCCTAAACAAAACCATCTACCACACAAATACACACTATCAGATGCTGGATGTCCTAGTTTCCTAACTGAACTTCCCGAGATAAACAAGAAATAAAGTCTCTCAGGTACTTAAAGAAATTAGAGCACTTCAGTTTTTCAGACTTAAGCCCCCTAGCTTTCTGACAGAAAATTCTCTGACCAGCTGTAGCTTTCTCAAGTTGCTAGAATGGCTCCTTCACTGTAGCCAAGACTGCTGTGGATCACAGAACAGACTGAGCAGCATTCCAAGCCCAGGAGGGCCCTTCTAGTGTTCAGCCTCTCTTCTACAACTGTGGGCTCAAACCCCTTACTGCTGTCCTAAGGATAGGAACAGTGATACCAAAAATACGTTGTAAATTCAATTGATGAAGCCAGTATTTTAAGAAATCCAGATTAATATAAGCTGCTGTTCAACTGAGGCAAAATATGCTTAGAGAGAAACCAAACCATCACAGGCCAAAGCAGAACTCAGCCACATAAATTTATCCAGCTGCATGTGCTTAGAATGCTTTTAAAAAAGCCCTTTACAACAGTGACCTTTGTGTGACATCTGAGACCTCATCTGGAGTCCTGTGTCCAGCCTTGTGACCCCAGCACAACAAGGACGTGCAGCTGCTGGAGCCAGCCCAGAGGAGGCCACGGAGATGCTGCAGGGCTGGAGCCCCTCTGCTCTGGAGCCAGCCTGGCACAGCTGGGGCTGCTCAGCTGCACAAGAGAAGGCTCCAGGGAGAGCTCAGAGCCCCTGCCAGGGCCTGAAGGGGCTCCAGGAGAGCTGCAGAGGGACTGGGGACAAGGCAGGCAGGGACAGCACACAGGCAATGGCTTCCAGTGCCAGAGGGCAGGGCTGGATGGGATCTTGGGAAGGAATTGCTGGCTGGGAGGGTTTTGAGGCCCTGGCACAGGGTGCCCAGAGCAGCTGTGGCTGCCCCTGGATCCCTGGCAGTGTCCAAGGGCAGGTTGGACAGGGCCTGGAGCAGCCTGGGACAGTGGAAGGTGTCCCTGCCCATGGCAGGGATGGAATTGGATGGGCTTTAAGGCCACTTCCAACCCAAACCATTCTGTGTTTATCTTACAGGTCTCAAAGTGCCAGCATGTCCAGCAGATCAGAATTCCCTTCCTTACAGAAAAGCTGCACTTAAAATCCAGAAGTCACTGGTGTGATCATACTATAACATCCAGAGTCTTGGAGGGAGGGAGGAAGGATTCCAGGAAGGAAGGATTCCAGGAAGGAAAGGAGCCATAGATTGTCAGAGATAGCTGTTTTTCTGTGAGACAGAAGAGAGCTTGCTCCATTCCTTCTGCCTGAACTTGGAAACATGAGGACATTCTAGGGACATCACCAAGCTTGACATGTGCAGTACACCCCTCCAGGAATAATTATATACTTGTTCTCAAGAGGAAAGGCATGCCAAAAAACGAGATTTTAATACCAGAGATTTACTGCGCCACATATTTTTGGAAAAGCTAGCCTGTAAGTGCAACTTGCTTTTCAACTGAAAGGTATTTTGGTTTTCACTCCCTTTATGTTTTTAAGAGGGGAAAACGTCTTAAGATAATCACACAGACTCATCTGTATCACAAAGCCCCTGTAGCACAATTAATTACCCAGATTTCCCAACTTCAGAACAAAATGTTAATAGTTCATGTCCAGTCAGGTTTAAGACCTGAGAACACATTTCTATTGTTTGGTTATCAAAATAAGAGTTTCCAGAACTTGTAGTGATTCCAAACTAAATCTTTGTGCACTCAAAGTTTCTGCCATGACACACCATCAACGGGACTTATTTTCAATTAAAACATTCAAAAAGTGACCCAATCACTATGGGAAACTCTTCAGTCAAAAATACTGAAAAAAAGACCAGTATTTTTGTACTTCTCCTACGAGTTTGGTACTAACAAAGGGGAAAAAAATACCTTTTGTATCTTTAGTTTCTTCTTCTATGAACCTGTGGTAGAGATTTCTGACTGGTGCACTCATAGACTTCAAAGGCTGATACAAGATCTTGTACTTGCCCTCCACGGCCTTGTTTATCTGTTGAACAACTGCATTAATCTGATCATACGTTATACGGCCTTTCATATACCTACAAATAAAAAATAAGAATCAGTAACCAGAATGTCACAAAGTTCCATGTTTATTCTTCTCTTTCATCAGCCTTAACTGAACATGCCCTTCCTAGTGAGAGGCAGTTTCTCCTGCTTTGTGTAAAAGAATACATGTAGTAGTTAATTCTGTCCATTTCCTTGACTGTTTAACAATCTTAAAGCTAAAAAAGCCATGACAGAACCTAAACCAGAAAGATAAAATATAGAAAGCTAAATTAAGAGGCAGAATTCAGTGCTTAAGCCGTAAAAAGCTTTCCAAAATGGAATAAAGATTGCTATTATAGTGTATATATATGTAGTACTAGAAGAATAAGATCTGTTGATAACAGCCTAGAGGTATAGGAAGCACAATTTTGGTTTTTTATGTGGAACTCAGTGCCATTGTTTAGTTGAGGTGTTAGGGCATGGGTTGGACTCGATGATCTTGGAGGTCTCTTCCAATCTGGTGATTCTGTGATTATTTGGGGTTTTTTGATGAACTACTAGTTTGGTGCTGCCTTCTGTACTTGACTGTGCAGATATCATTCTGGACCACCAGCATCCATTTCTGAACTCTCAGTGCATTTCATAATACTAGTACAAGGAGAATAAAGTTTCTTGACATCAGCCTAGAGGTACAGGAAGCAGAGAAGATAAAGACCAAAGTGACGTGGAAATACTAGAACACTGGAATATTTGCAAGTAAGGCTATTCAGTATTTGTAGATGTGAAGCCATGCCTTCAAGGAAAAGAACCTGTGCTGCACACTGGGAAGCTACTCTATAAAAAAATGAAATCTGAAACTCAAATTACAAGAAGTAAGCTAAACACAGCACAACCCTCCCCCCTCAAAAAAATGGCAGCAAGAGCCAGGCCAGCCTTGCATTGTCCTGTGGCCTTCATTCAGGTGCTACAACAAACCAAACCTGGCTGTTTGTGTTTTGTTCAGTGTCAGCTTGCAGACCTGAGGAATTACACAAGGGTTACAATTCATTTTAAGAATGAATGCTTTAGGTCAGTAAAGCTAAAAGCTGTGGGACAGCAAGACTGAAAAGATCAATGAACAGCAAGTTCCTCCCTCGTTTTAATCTGAACAGACAGGCTCAATCTTCGGAGAACACACAAAGAATTCGAAGCAGAAATAGATAATCAATTACAAGTTCAGTATTCCAAACCAGAGTTCGGGCAGGCATTCTGATTGCCAACTCAAAATAAGTGCTGTGGATTCCAACAGCAGCCAGTCCCTGCCAGAGAAACAGGCCGGCAGAGGTGCGTAAAAACTTAATTTAAAGCAATTGCCCTGCCTCCAAACCGAGTTTGAAACTTAGTAGCCACTAAGTTACTTGCAACCAGCTTTCAACTTTACAGATAATTTTATTAATTCAGCGTTGGAGGTGCAGCCATCTCTCAGTTACAAAAACGCTCTACTCTGCACAGTAATAAAAGCAGCACTAGCACCCCTGAAATGCAGCCACAGCACAAACACAGCCTGTAACCACAGCAAAGCTTTGCCTGTGTGCATTAACTGCTTTTTATTGCTATCTCTGCCTCCCTACGCCACAGGGGAGCGTGCCGAGCCAGCAAGGCTAAGCCCAGAGGTGTAAAATACCTTTATTTAACTTCCTGTGCTCCCACTGTCAGCACGCAGACCGTGAACACACTTAAAAAAGCCAAGGGAGCACCTCAGCTCAGACAGGCAGGACTGAGCTGCCTAAACCTAAAAGCTGAATGCTCTTTGAGAGGCCCTCAGGCATCCAAGATGCTTTAATCTGAAATTAAACTCTGTCAAAACCAAATGGAATTTTTATTCCGTGCATAGCTAAGGATCATAAAAACTCCAGCTGTCCTCTCATGTTTCTACCCAACCATGGCTGGCAAACCTGTTAATGCTAACGTTTATTTCAGTCCATACATACACTAATATAAAAATACAAACCTGAGATGTTCCAAATGCAGGCATTTAATTTAGATTTAAAATAGCTTTAAAATCTGCTTCACTATTCCAAATGCAGTGAAATTCAAAACTCTTATTAAAAAACCCAAAAACAACAACAAAAAATCCAGTCAGTTTCTTTTTTTAATCCACAGAATGCTTTTCAAAGCATTTTTTTCCATAGGTATGAAAACCAGAGCACAGTGCTGTGTTCCTCAGAGAAAAGAATAACATCAATATATCACATATATACCACTCTAAAAGAGATAAAGCTTGCAGTGGCCACCCTCTGCTCACTCAAAAATGGTAGGCTAAAATAGCCATGTATTATTATCCCAAGCCACCATCTTCTGAGACTTGAGAGTTATAATGAACGCATAGAATCTAAAACACTTTCAGCAGTAAGATTTTTAGAAAGCAGTAAGAATTCTAGAAGAATAAACAAGAATAAACAATAAACAGAATAAAGCAAGCATTTTCCTTTGCCTCAAAGACAAAAGCTAACAAAGACAGCTACTGTGAAATGTCCTTTATCCTCCTCCAAAGAGCACCTTCCTGCAACAGATGTGAAGGGTAAGACAATTTGCAAGTTTTTCATTGTGCAAAGTGTTGTGTTTGATCAGGTGCTCCACATCTGCCCCTTAACACAGCGTGTGCCTTTGCTAAATACCAGCTGCCCAGTCCTAGGACGATGAAGTCACTGAAGCCCGTGTGTCCCTTTTAGTGGCCTGATGGTGTTAGGAATAGATTTTCCTTCATGCTCAGCACAAAGCAAGTTAAAACAGCCTCCCACCCCCAGTGCTCACCTGAAGAACTGGTCCCTGAACCAAATTCTCATTCTTCCAAGAGAATAAATTCAGTGTAGGAGAATTTGTATTACAAGTATTTGCTGCTTAGATTTGGTCAATCAGTATGTGAAATTGCAAGTACTCCCTCAATCTTGTACTACAACATTGCCAGGCAACAGAAATACTGGTAGATTAACAGATCTATGTAAATTCATGTAAATCTTCCTCCACAGAACAAACATGCTTCTCCAATCTGAATAAAATTAAATTATTTCTAGAGCTCTACCAGCACAGTCTAAGCTGCAACTTTTCCATAATGGGTGCCTTCCAACACAGCTGCAACATTTCCACAACGAGTGCCTTCCAACTCGGCTTATTCTGTGGTTTTGTGAATCTGTAATGAATAGGAAGGGGATCCATCTGCCCTCTGTCCCCATCCTCCACGACCATGAACAGCAGTGGAAAACCTTCCACTTTCAAGGATTATCATGAATTTCTTTAGGTTGGAAAAGCCCTCTGAGATTATCCCCCAGCACGGCCAAGGCCACACTACTAAACCATGCCCCCAAGTGTCCTTCCACCTGTCTTGTGATGTGGAAGATCACAGCCTTAACTGGAAGTTAAAACAATATTTGGCTGAAATGGTCTGTGTCTGTTTCTCTTGCCACAGCAGAGATAAAGACCAAAAATTCCCATAATTTTATCCGGAAAAATGTTATCCTTTTACCTAAGGGAGTAAATCCACAAAATACCTGAGGTGTTCTGCAGAAGAAAAATACCAGGTGCATGCTCTTGTAAGAAGTAACCAGAACTCCTTTATCATTAGCTCAACATGCAGGATAAGGAAGAAAATGGGCATTACTCACCTGAAAATTTTGAAGGCTACAGAAAAAAAGTATTGGAAAGCCTCAAGTAACGTTCAGACTCAAGAACATATTTCTTATTGAAAGAGGTATTGTCAGGGAACAGAGTGAATCTAGAGTCTCAATAACAATTCAGCCTTAGGCATCAAGAGAAATTTCTTCTTTTTGCAGAAACATTTACCCATGCCACCCAAATGCCATTTAAGAAGTTATTCCTATATGTTAGACTTCAGACAAGGATATCCATTAATCACGTCCTGATGTTAGGGGAAAAATCCACCACTTTCTATTCCATAAATTTGGGAATTTCAGTGCAAAGTGGGTTTTTTGCTTTTAAGAAGTCTGATTGCTTTTCCTGTCTCAAAACACATTGTTAAGTCAAGACTTGAAGTTTCCAGAAACCAATAGCTGGGTCAAATAAAAACTTCATTTATCATTACTTTTCCTCCTGTGTGTAAACAAACCCTTCATCTTATGAGATGATGGCTTTTTTTTTAATGTCAGTTCTCAAAACAAGATGAGGATTCACCTGTAAGCTAATAAATCTCTGTTCATACAATTACAGTGACTTTTGAGGTAAGAGGTTTGGGTTAAAAAAGAGCCCAGCTAACTCCATTCATTCAATTTTCAGGTTTCCCAGCACTGCATTTGAACTATTTGGAGCTATTACCATGTTTCACCCCACGAAATATTTCATCTCTGTCAGTCCCAGTTCTGCAAGAGATGACTCTCCCAAACCTGCGTGTGGCACCCAAATGGATATATCAGGGTGCAAGGGAAGCCAACGCTTACTTACGCAGGAACACTTTCAAACTCCTCTGTGGTTATTAGTGCCACTTCTTTAATGACTACTGTCCCTTTTGCAGGCTTCTTTGCACACTTAGGTTCCACAGCCTTATTTTGTCCTTCCTGTTTCCCAGTTGGAACTGTGACGCTGTAAAATAAAGGAATATTCAGGTAATAAACAGCAGGTAAGTAGGCAGGAGAATTCCACTATTCTATCAAGTCTGCTTAGTCACAGATCTAAGTTCCAGCCTATCTGTTAGGCTGGATGAACACAATTAATGGTATTTCAGAAAAGAAACACCAGTAAAGCAAGCCTACTCTTTCAAATCGTATCCTTCAACTGACTTCAGCACAGCTCTTGGCTTCTCTGCTACAGAGGCTGCTAGCAGGTGAGCTGGAAGCAGTCCAAGTGCAGCAAGGCACAGCTCAGAATTCAATGTACCATTACACTTCACACAATGCAAGGCCTGGCTTTTTATGAGATGAAACAGGGCACAGAGCTGCAGCCTTAATGGGCAGATTTGAAATACTTCACAGCTCTTTGAAACAGGTTCAAATCTTGGGAAGCCTGACTCATCCATTAAACTTTTGAAGCACCACCTAGCAGACTGGGGTTTTTAACACTTCAAAAATTTTTTTAGGCAAGATCCAAAAGGTCAAAAATTTCCTGATTTATTCCTGATTATTAGAACATTATTGTTATAAATTCACCCTTCCTCTAAATCCTCAGCTGTGAGCCTCAAACCCCAAGGGATTTGCCAGCCACCCACCCAGCTGCTCCTCAGCTGGACAGCAAAGGTGATGCACATGGCCAAATCCACTGTCACCAGGACACACGGACATCACTGGGATGTGCAGCAGAATTAACTCAAGCAGTACAGAGCTGACCTGGACAAGGAAATGATCCTCTGCTGGGGTCTGACTGTCCCACAAGAGATCCCTGTGGGCCGTGGGGTCCCACAGCAGTGAACAGCACAGCAGTGCCCCATCGGTGGGCCCCAGAGCCAGGATTTGAGGTGTCACTTGATGTGACCTGGCCAAGCCCAGTGTCCCATCCCTGAGGAAGACGAGTGACAGGACAGCCAGTGCCACCTGCTGGGCTCCCACATTGCCTGCCCGGTGACACGGGGACAGGAGCAGCTCTGCTCTGCTCTGTGACACAACACAGAGCCCTTCTGAAACCCAGCACATCTGCAGACAAACTTACTCACATGTCATCATCTGAAGAACATCTGTTTGCATCTCAACAACAACAACAAAAACAAATCCTGGCATCCCGCATCTAGCAGGGAATGTCAGCAAACAGGAAGGAAAGGGAAGGGGGGTGGATTTTGGGTGGTGGTGGAGGTAGGTTTGGAATGAAAGGATAAACACAAGAACCAAGGGAAGCAAGTTCACATCTTGAAACTTCATTCCTCCCACGCTCCAGTCTCCTGCTGTCTATCACACTGCAACAAACCTTTTCTAGATGATTCCCCACATCCAGGCACCTCTCCTTTGTGTTCCCACCCACGCCCTTGCCCCTGCACTGCTGCAGTGAGGTGGTGCAGACACAGTTCACTGCTGACCTGAACCATGAAAAGGAAAAACTGATGCTTGTTTACAAAATCTGGCTCTGCTGGAATGAGAAACTGCTCTCAACAAACACGGGGGATATAACAGCTTGAGAGATATTGAATTTGCTTTTTGTGAGATTCTTCTGGTACACAAGAACAGAAAACCCAAGAATATAGGAGAGAAACAATAGTTAAAGACATGAACCCTTCAGTTTCTCTGTGTGGGTGTTTTCATTTTCCCAGGGACTCCAAGGCCTGTCTCACCAGTGTTCAAGTGCTCTTCTGCTTTCTGCACTATCTCTCAAAAATCACTCAACAGCCCATTAGTATTCATACTCCCACACATCTGGAGACATAGGGGAACAGAAAGGGAAGAGGTCAGGAGAGGAAGGTTTGGGGAAGAGACCTGAAAATGTATTTACACTGATACAGTGTTTTGAACAATTATGTCCCTTCTTACACTTCCTTGACCCTCCACTGCACAGGACAGTGAACACCAAGAAGTGACAAAATGGGGACAAAAGGAGAAAGTGTGTTTTGACAAATGGCATCATCATACAATGTATTGTTACTCAAGAAAAACCAGCAACAAACTGACACTGACAGAACAGCAGCTGTGAGCTGGCTGAGCACAATCTGTATAAAATTATCAGAAAAGCTTGGTTGGTTTTACATATTGTGGTTTTCTCTAGAAAGGGAAGAACTGGCTAATATCACAATTAACTTCTTGATCAAAAGTAGGACAAGACTGTAAGGGAAACCAACATCCCAAAGAACCTTTTGGTGTCAGATGTGGCACAATCACCAAGCAAGCCTCACTTACATCTAAACAATTTCCAGGAGCTAATACAAAGTCACGACAAAGGATTTCCTACAATAAGAAAGTAAGTTATGACAGGAAGGCACAACCACCCAAGTGGTAATTTCTGAAAACTTTCAGAAAATTTCAGTTCTTACACACACACACACACACACACACAAAAGGCAACATCTAAATTGAAAAGGAGCAAGATACCCCTAGAGACATTGTGGGAGGCTGTTTCCTAAGCTGAGGGGTTCATTTCAAAATGGTTGGAATAAGAAAAAAGTTTCTGCACAAGTCATCCCTTCACCAGCTAAGAGCAATTTCAATACAATACCTTACACCAATGACCATATTGCTACACACCAACCAAAATAACAGCTAATTTTTCTCTTCTGGAACCCTCTTTCCACACATTTAACTTTTTACTTTGCTGGAATATGTCTGTCATGTTTTGAGACTGAGGCTTCTCTGGCATTAGGAACCAGACCAAGTAAAGCTGGTAGATTCAGGGCACATACTGGAAGCACTGAATTCAGACTAATGCTTTGCCTTCTGACAAGCTACAAGGAAAGAACACTCTGGGATCCCCAGATAATAGGACCCTGCAAGTGACCCCACCTGACACACACTAACATCACTCCAGGAAAAAAAGAGCAGCTCCAACAGGACAGAGAAAGAGAAACTCAGAGTTAAAATGCCTCAGAAGCCTTCCGAGTAACACCTGTTATTTCATATACTTGTCATTTTCACACACTTCAGCCACTTGACTCTGAAAAGCTTCTTACCACAGCCCTTTCCAAGGCAAGGGAGTGTCATAGCTAGCTGAAATAAATGCGGGATTGCTGTAGGGAAAAGAGAACAAAACTACCACAAACACAATCCAAAGCCCCATAGAAAAATGACTGAGTTAGAGGATTTTTGTTTTTTAATTGTATTTGGAAGGGCAGTGGTGAACTTCAGTTCTAGTGACCCAGCATTTGGATCACTAACACTTTAATCTGTAGGCACTGCAGTTATAAAATGAGTGTGTTTGTGATTCTAAAGCAAGGGATGCTCAGACTTTGAGGAGCACTTGCTTTCCACTCCATCACACCCACCTCTGGAAGCTCCCATTGGAACAACCTGGAATTTTATAGACTTGACCTGACAGATCTGTTGGGGTGCTAGCACAGGCTTGGAACAAGAGCCAGCTCCAGAGTCAATACACACAACAACTTTGGCTCCCAAAATCTCACAGTTAATGTGGAGTTAGAGGAGCAGAGCTGTACAGGGCTGCAGCTGAACGCTGCCAGGAGCAGCCCGGATTCTCCAGGCTCATGTACCACATACCAGCTCTTGGTCGGTTTAGGCAGGTAGAGTGGAATGTGGTCAAGGAGGTGCTGTGCTTCCTTCTGATCTCTCTCAGCAGTCTTCTGGATCTCCTGAAATTAATATGAGACTGCATCAGAAATCTGATCCTACTAACATTCAGCAAGTAAAGTTAGGGCAATATTAAACTGTCAGCTTTATTAAGAGGTGTCTTTTGTTCTCCTGCCATCATCTTACCTCCTTATCCCATAATTTCCCCGGGGAAACTAGTAAAGATACAAAGGAAGGAGCATCTGTCCTTGCCCTCAAAATGTCAGAGAAATTTGAGCAGGCAAAAGGAACTTTAGCAATATACCCTCAGCGAGGTCTGGTCAGGAGAATGGTGGTAGTGAAGATGAGATACTATGGTAAATTCACCTCCATTCCCCAAACAACATTTCCTCAAAAGACTTGGCAAAGGCAGTGCAAACACACAGTAGAATAACATAAAAATATCCTATGAATACTTTGTGCAAATATTGCAAATATGTGTAAGTAGAACTGCTCTTTAGATCACTGCATCAATTATGACAAAAACATGTTTTCAAGGCTAGCAACAAAGGCATGCTTTTAATGGCCTTAAGATTAAGGAAGGTAGACTTATATTAGACATTAAGAATAAATTCTTCCCTGTGAGGGTGGTGAGGCCCTGGCACAGGTTGCCCAGAGAAGTGTCCAAGGCCAGGTTGGACAGGGCTTGGAGCAAACTGGAATAATGGAAGGTGCCCCTGATCATGGCAGGGGTTGGGACTGGATGAGCTTTAAGGTCCCCTCCAACTCAAACCATTCTACAATTCTATGATGCTATGTATAAGCCCTGAAAAACACAGTTTTTAATGTTCATGGTTCTGGAGAACTGCTTAACAAACCATCAGCAAGCCTGTTCCAAGCCCATTTCTCTTGTAAGCATGTGCATCCAAACATCACTATGGATATAGGGAAAAAAGCCATTACATACATATCAAAGATTTCTTTGAATCTTTCAGTATTTTAAGAACAGGAAAAGAAAAAAGATTACTTTTAACAAATCTTTCCGTTTTTCTTGCTGCTTAACTATCATTTCCATTTTGTTCAGGAGATCATGTATAAGGTACACCTCATTCTGTATTTTACGGAGCACAGGCTTGCGGGATTCATCTTCACCTGTAAAAGACAGAACATTAAGTTACAAAGTCTCCATGAAAAAAACAAAATCCAATATTCCTTCCCTTCACAAGCAGTGATTATCTAACTCCCTGCTCCCCAGCCACCATATCCAACCAGGAGAAGCAGCAAGCCAAATTGTCAGCCTTGTACTTTGCACAGCCAACAGAGTTCATGGAATCATTTAGTTTGGAAAAACTCTCTAAGACTAGGTCCAACCATTCCCCCAGAGCACCATCAAGGCCACCACTAACCTGTGTCCCAAGTGTCACAACCACATGTCTTCTAAATCCCTTCAGGGATCAGGATTCCACCACCTCCTTGGGCAGCCCCTTCCAAGGTCTGACTGCCCTTTCCGTCAGAAAATTCCTCCTGGTGTCCACCCGGAGCCTCCCCTGGCCCAGCCTGAGGCCGTTCTCTCTCCTCCTGTCCCTGTTCCCAGATCCCAAATCCCCCCCGGCTGTCCCCTCCTGTCAGGGAGTTGTGCAGAGCCACAAGGTCCCCCCTGAGCCTCCTTTTCTCCAGGCTGAGCCCCTTTCCAGCTCCCTCAGCCTCTCCTGGGGCTCCAGCCCCTTCCCCAGCTCCGTTCCCTGCCCTGGACACGCTCCAGCCCCTCGGTGTCTCTCTCGGAGTGAAGTGCAAACCAAACCCCACAGTAGCTCTTACTTACCTATGTCTCTCAACTGGATACAATTTTTAACACTTGAAATCTTTGCATTAATGTGGGAGCATAAATCTTCCAGGCACGAGGATCCCATATCTTTCATCATCACACTGAGGGAGAACAAAAATGAAGGCAGAAATTTACCAAAGATCCAAGTTGCAAACATTGCCTACAAAAGTAGAATTTTTAGAAGATCCTGATCTGTCAAAGAAGCAGAGAACATAAATGAAACAGTAAATGGAGTCATTATCTTTTATCTTACTAAACTGAAGGCAGAAAAGGAAGCATAAAGTGACTGGCAATCCAAAATTGCCTAGACAAACCAATAAGTTTCCCAGAACTGTGGAGATAAATGCAGTGTGATATCAGTGCAGCAATGAGACTGGGAGCATCCTTATTATATTGAAGTGTCCACTAAAAAAGGAGTTGGAATTTACTGCAAAAACCAAGAAATACCTGGCTTATATAAGGCAGTTTTAGAAGGCTCTCTCAGGGAGACTACATCAGATGATTGATGTTTAAAGAGGTGTGGTTTTAAAAAAATGTGATTAAGCAAAAAAAACAACAAAGGTGTTAGCAATTTATTAGGAAATCTGAAGGCATCAAAAAGAGCATTATATATCGATTACTATACTGTCTATAATAATAGAGTTACTAACCCTATTATAGACAGGAATTCGTTAAAATAAAAAGTTACACAATGTGACAACCCCCCGCATTTAACACTGTGGTCCGGCACTGAGCGTTCACACAGCTCCCTCCGGCGGCTCACACTTGGAAACTTCTAAAAAGTCTTAACTTCGCTTTTGGCTTAAAATACTATCAACTACCGCGCTTATTAAATCCGTTCTTAGAGACGTGCCGCCTTCCCCACCCTCCACACCGGGGCGGAACCAGGACGCTCCGAGGCGGATCGCGATACTCCTCTGGGGGGATCGATGTCGCCCGCTGGGCCCGGCGGCAGCGCCGGTTTCTCCTCAGGTCTTACCAGGCGCAGCAAGGCCAGCGCTTCCCGTTCTTTGTCCCTGTCCCACTCTCCCAGACGCTCGGCCGGGGGAGAAGGGAGGACGCCCAGTCTTTCTGCGGCGGTTCGAGCCCCGGTTTGAATCCGCCGCGCTCGGGAGGCCGTTGGGGAGGGCGGGGAGGGAGCGTGCGCGCTGAGGGGAGCGAGGGGCGGGCGGGAGGAACGGGGGCAGAACGGAGGAGAAGCGGGGCGGGGAGAGCAGAGGCACTGAAGGGAGCAGGAGCAGCGCTGAGGAAAAACGGCGGGGAGAGGAGGAGCCCTGAGGGGAGCGAGCGGCGGGCGGGAAGGGCGCAGTGCGGCCAGCTCTGAGGAGAAGCGGAGCGGGAGCCCTGAGGGGAGCCCGAGGTGCGGGCGGGAAAGGCGGAGCGGGAGCAGCCCTTAGGGGAGCGAGCGGCGGATATCCGGAGAGCTGGAGGAGTTTGTAGGGCAGTGTCTTCTCCGAGCCAGACAGTACAAGGGGATATGGTCGCCAACTGCGGCACAGGAGGCTCAGGTTGTAGTTCAAGAGGAATTCCTTCGTGGAAAGAGCGCTCTGGCAGTGGAAAGGGTTGCTTGGGGAGGTCTGGAGGACTCCTTCCTGGAGGTGTCCGAGAAACGCCGGGACATGGCACTCAGTGCTGTGGTCTCGGTGACTAAATGGGATCAGTCAGGTAGGGCACGATCTCGGAGGTCTTTTCCAACCTCTGACTAATTCTGTGAGTCTGGAGGGACTGGGAGGGAGGGCGTAGGGAGGGAGCTTTGAGGGGAGTGGGAGTGAAGGGCGGGAGCGCGGGGGGTGTTGTCGACTTTTAGGAGCTCTGTGCCCACACAGTGTCTTTCACCTTAGAAAGGAGACGTTTATTCAGAGCAGCGTGCAAGGAGAACCTTCTCACTAATCAGCTTTCCAAGGGGTAAAACGTCACATCTATAAGTTACATATACAGTACAGTTCCCATGAACACGTCCGTTTACTGCATATTCTCCGCCCATCTAATACACATTTGAGTGACGTAATCCTAACGCACAGCTTGAAGCAGGTTCTTTCCTGTTCACTAGGCAGTCTCCTCTTGTGCAAGCAATTTCACATAAGTTACGTTTACAAAAGGCGAAAAAGAAACCTGAAATACATAAAGGACAGCTGGAGGGGAAGGAGAGA